ATATATTGTAATACTGATGGAACCTGGCTAAATTTTGGGTATTCTAAAATCAAAATTTGGCAGGATACAACTATAAAAAGGGGCTAAGAGAGCCTTTTCAGCTATTTTGAACAGGTTTAGTTGCACCCTCTGGAGAAGATTCGTGATACATAGTTGTGATACACTCGAAGCTTGAAAAAAAAATAGAAAAGATGTTATCACGTGGAAATGAATGCAAAATACTGTGAAAATTGATTTGGAAAAAGTTTGCTGCGTAACTTACAATCTCGAACAGTATGGTAGCGTTGATTAATGCATCTTGCTGTACCATTTTGTCTGAAAACATTCCTTCTTTAAGTACAAGGAAACCAGACATCTAGCTGTGATTTGTAAGCAAAAATATTCCTTAGGAAGCTGGTATATTGAAAGTCAAACTTTTAGTCTTTGTTTCTAAGGCTTGAAAACAACTTGAATTTCATTGTATCAATGCCTTAGCTATTGAAGACGGACATGATGTGCTCCGTTTACCACCATATTATTACGAACTGAATTCAGTAGCATGGAAGGATATGTAGCATCTGAAAACAGAACTTTTAAAAAGGATGAAGTCCATAAATTGATTGAGAAATTGAGAAAGAAATTGATTGATTCCAATGCTATGGATTAAATGTGTGATGCATGTAAGTGCATCAAATTTAACATTGATAAGTGAGAAAGTTCAGATTCTTCAGGTGATATCTCAGCAGGATTAAATACTTTAGTTAAAAAAAAAAAAAAAAAAAAAAAAAAAAAAAAAAAAAAAAAAAAAAAAAAAGCCATTTTTCAGGGCCACAAATTAAAAATACAAGGGCCCTTTTCAAGGCCAGAAATTAAGAAAAAGGCAGAACTATGTAAACAGGTATAAATAACATTATAAATACTGCTGAATATTGATAGTTCAACCTTGGTTTAAAATTAAGTGAACGGACTGGTTTTCATGAGTTTCCCCATGTGTTACTTGAATACAAGGTAATTGCATTTTGAAAGTCCACTAGGAATGCATCTGATCCCTTAGTCAGATAGCTGTTGTGTACTTTGCTGTATATTCAAATCACCTAACCTAATCAATATGGATCAATTAAATTAACTATGGCAGAAGAAATTAAATTAATTATGGTTTCTGTTCAAAGGGACAGATGTCTTCATGGGGGACTTTACAACGGTAAAGGATTGTTTTTATACAATGCACTGGGAAACTTCCATGCTGCCAGTCCTTTTAGTCATTACAAACAAACTCTCTGCATATTGCCAATGTGTATGCACTCGCATTAAGTGTTTCATGCCTTTACCAACTTGGTCATTAATAAGCTCAATATACAAATGATTCCATCCAAGGTAAGAAAAAGCCAGATTTTCTATATGATATGCTTATTAGCTGTACACCTCGCATGAACTGTATTGTTTTTCCTTGTCTTACATAGTCCTGCCCCTCCCCACAAAGTATCAGTTTGTGTATTCTCAGAGAGCTTAAATCAGCCTGCTTTTTATAAACTGACAGATGTATAAGCTATGTATTCTTCCTTGCATAAAGCTAAAGACGTATCTTTGATATCCTGTCGTGCATAGCCATTTCATTCAACAAAGCATATAAACTTTATTTTTTAAATACAAGCAACCAGTCATTCATTGATATGCTGAATGATTTAAAGGCAATAAGTTCACTTCTTAATAATTTAAATTTTTTGCTCTTAGTTTTTATGAATATCTGAGCTTTATTGTATTTAACAAAAGACATCTCTAATTAATAGGTTTCTGTAATGGATTATTAGGATGATTTATTTCATAATTGTTTGTTTCACAATTTTAATTTTTTAATATTTTTCTAATACTTTTTAATGGCAAACTCTTCTTTGAGTCATTGTACTGCAATTTGAAGTTTTCAGTTTCCAATATTTTGATTTTAAATAGTAGTAAACAAGACAGAGCCAGATGTACTGTGGGAGGGTCATTGTCTGGGCATGACTGGAAGAATAGACACCTTTGGAGACAGTTAATACAGGATTTAATTTTTATAATGTTTGCTAAAAATACAATTAAAAATTTTTTAAATGGTCACATATCTAATTAACTAATTAATTTCTTTAGAAAAGAAAATTCAAAAATTTTACTCTGGTTCACTGTTTTGAAAGCAGCAAACTGGATGAATTAGCAGAAAATAACTTACTTCCAAATTCACTAAATTTAAATGTTTTAATTTTAGCTAAGCGAATGGTCAAGGGGAAAAAATTAATCCATGCTACAAGGAATACATTGCTAGCTCTTCTGTTTTAAGTAACAATTTGGTTTTTAAATGTGATCAAATCTTATTACATTTAGATAATAGAAAAATATTTCATATAAATTAAGAAAATGAATGGCATCCCCTACAGTTAACTATCAAGCTCAGTTGCAGTGTCGTTGCATAAAAAGATTGTTAATTAAATACACTAGGTTTTAGCAAGAATTTGCCAGATGTGCAGCAAATCAGACGAATTGAACATCTGTGGTCAGCTTGATGCATATAGATAACTTATGAATAACAGAAGTAATAACTTCATGAATAACTGTTTGATAAGAAAATGGTGAAAAGCCATTAAAAGGTCATTCTAGCCTTGTACTAGAATACTACATAGTACTAGAATACTGTATTAGCCTTGTACGTGTTAGATTGTTGCGAGATATAAATGTTCATTTCACAGTCGTTTGACATTTTTAATTATATGTATGTGTGTCAAAATAAGAATTTATCTTTCCATATTCATGATCAAATATATTATGCTCCATTTTCATATCTTTCAATAAAAGATCTAAAATATCTTGACCCAAAACTTCTAGTTTTATGAATTTATTGCTTAAAAGTGAAAACACCACATCACATTCTTCTTGTTCTATTGGTTTAGCTTTTAAAGCTTCATCTAGTTTATTAGCAGCTTTTATAAAATTTGTTCTGAGTGGTGTTGTGATCTTAATTAATTTTTTCCATAATTATCTATTTCACTTTGATCAAAATCAGCCTTTTACTAAAAACCAGCATCTCTCTAATCAGGCATCAGGACTTTACATGTGATCAAAACAAATACCATTCAAAGTGTAACATCACTGAACTCCCTGTATGGAAGGCATTAAGATAGGTGTCTCTTTTAGATTTATTTCAAAATTTAGCAACAAATGAATTCTAGGTTATACAAAGTTTGAATTAGGATACAAAAATGCTGCACCAATATTTTTATGGAAGAGATAGACCAAGGCATCTTAGATTCAAGATGTGCCCTACTCCAAAGGCAATTTTAGACAACTGTTTGTTCTTTTGTAGCAAAATGAGAAACAGATACACCTGGCAAGAGTGCAATTAAGAAAAAAGTCCTTCAAGTACTTTCGCTTTTAATGTCTCGGACTAGCCAGAAGAGCTTGCCCCCCCCCATGAGAATAAATTGTGAACACGTTTGTCGAAAGCAGTAAAAATGAAGTTAAATTTCTTACCTCGTTTCTTCACACGTCCGTAGTGTTTGGCACTGGGAAGCTGTTGTTGTTGCCTAAAATCCAAACGTACTGTAAAATTGTCATAGTAACATTTGTGTATTATATATACATAATCTAATTCACAGAACACACCATGAAGGGGGAAGAAAAAAAAAGGGAGGAGAAAAGTTGTCAGAAGTCTGTGGGCATGCGCAGATGCCCAAATTCCAACCAGAATTATTCCATTTCATATTGGAGGGGGTGACAGATGGCAGTGAGTTGAGAGCTATCTGTCAGAAGGGAGAAATGCTCTCATGAATGAAATTTTAAAGAAAATTTGCTCATATTCATATTAAGCATGGGAAAAGTTTCAAAAATTCCCATGTAACCATCAGGATTTGAACTAGGTCAAATTACTATGCCCAGCAATTTTAACATGTGTTCATTAGTGTGGGCTAGAATCTTGAATGAAACTAATATTTAGACCAATATCTTGGTGCTTCTGCTGTTGTATTTATTGATCATGTGGATTGATGCGAGTTGAAAGAATTTTAGGACAGTCACCAAAAAAAAAAAAAAAAAAGTAAACTTATTTAAAAAACGACAAAAAATATTTCATAAAATACATGTAAGAAATTTTACAGAATTTCTCAAATTATGCCATTTAATTAATGAATGTTTTTGTCACAAAATAAAATCTTCCTTGGATTATTTGTTTATCTTTTAATAAAAGAGTTTGTTAAAATGTCAACACTTTTCCACTTTTTTTTTTAGTATTTCAAATAGGCATTTTCTGAAAATGTTTTCCAAAAATATTGACAAGTTTAAGATTTAGTTCTGTGTGAATGGAGTTTTTGATTATCTGTGGTGATTACGAACCCTGTTATCTTGGATAATCGGCCATGAGTGTGCTTACAATCAAATATTTGTTTCTTTTGTTCTTGTGGAATTTTGTGGTAGTTGCTTTAAAAATAAATTCAAAGCAATTTTTCTGAAGAAAATAGTGCATTTCTGAAAAAATTTTACCATGCTTTCTTCTGTTATAGGTAAATTCCAAAATAGGTAAATATTTTAAAACTGAGTTTAAGACAAAAAATAACAGATTGTCTAGAAAGAAAAAAAAAAAAAAAATTGAAATACAAGAAACGCATATGAAAATGGTTCTGTCATTTGTTAAAACTGAAGTATTGTTAAACAGAGTTATACATTCTGAAAATTTTATAAATTCTACCAAGGCTGTTGCACAAATATATAAATATCACTATTTCTTAGTTCTAAATTACATAGTATTATGGAAGTTGTAATGCAAATGAGCCTGCAATATGAAATAACAGTACTGAAGTAATTTTTATGTTGTTTCAGGTTGTTCACAAAAAGAAATTCTTAGATAAATTTTCAATTAAAATATTTTTAGTAGAATTGTTGTTTTGTACAAGAAAATAATAGTATGTTTTGTACATAATTTTTTTGATAATAATACTTAATCTTTTTACTTAATCCTTGAATAACTTTTATGCTTAGTCATGTAACATAATTTATTACAGACTTATTGGAGAAATGTTAATTCGGGATCCTGAAAAACGGGCTTCATTGGAGGAGATTGCTAATGATCCTTGGCTCAATGGTGGTGATGCTATCCAACCTGCGGACCATTTACCTCTTATATCTAGAGAGCACCTTTCTGATGAAGATCACACACATATTGTTCAGAAGATGGTAAATGGCAATATAGCATCTAAAGAAGAAATTATTGAGTAAGTTTTATTTATTAAAGAATTATTATTATATTTCTTAATAGGTGTGCTCGCTTTATGGAAAAATAGATCTACATTAAATTAATTCTTGAAATCCCCATAACCCTTTAATGTTTTGCTTTTTTTCATTCCAATATAATACAGCACAAAGTCTTTAATCCGGACTCGTCGGGACTTGGGTGATTCCGGATTAGGGGTTTTTCCGGATTATAGATCATCAGTTTAAATCTGGTAAGATGGCATGCAGAAATTATAAAATCAAAAATATTAAACCGTAATTTATGAAATTAAGAGCAATTATGATCTAAAGGGTATCAAAATTTACAAAAAAAAAAAAAAAAAAAAAAAAAAAAACTTAATATTTATTTGTTTACTTTATTAAACATTTCTTTCAATGTAAGTTGTTTAAGTTGCTTTGTTTTATGTGCTAATACTTTCTCTTTAATTCTATAAACAGACATAATTTCTTGTTCAGTTACAAAGTTCCACTGTTCAAGTCCTGAAGATTAAGGAACAATGCAATCTGCAACATTAACTGAATTAGATAATTTCAGCCTAGCTTATACCGTCTGTTATACATTAAACGTGCATGCATAAATGGTACGCATGCCCAGAAAGTTTGTAGCTTTGAGGTTCAGATTATAGATCATTCCGGATTATGGATGTCCGGATTAACGACTTTGCACTGTACATATTTATCCTTTACTCTCTCCCCCCCTTTTTTTGTAACTAGTGATACTGTTTTTGTCTTTAATATACTAATTTAAGTTTTCATTACTGATTCGGCTCTAAGAAGGTTGTTTAATGGACCTTGGAGGCTGAGAAAGTAACTGCAAAATTTTGTGTATATACAGTACAAATTCCGTAATCCGGACTCGTCGGGACTTCGGCGGCGATTCCGGATTAGGGGTTTTTCCAGATTATAGATCATCAGTTTAAATCTGGTAAGATGGCATGCAGAAATTATACAATTAAAAATATGAAACCGTAATTTATGAAATAAAGAGCATTTATGATCTAAAGGGTATCAAAATTTACAAAAAAAAAAAGCTTAATATTTATTTGTTTACTTAATTAAACATTTTTTTCAATGTAAGTTGTTTAAGTTGCTTCGTTTTTTGTGCTAATACTTTCTCTTTAATTCTATAAACAGACATAATTTCTTGTTCAGTTACAAAGTTCCGCTGTTCAAGTCCTGTAATTGCTGTGTCGAGAATACCGACTAACTTGTCAATCGAAATTCTTTTGTTTTCAATAACCTCTCTCACTTTTTTCACTATCGGAAGCATGCATGTGTAAACGCTTTACTGACTTTACACGCATGCGTAGCGGGTGCTCACATCCAACGTGCATATGTAAATGCATTACGCGCATGTGTAAGTTTGTGGCTTTGACGTCCGGATTATAGATCATTCCAGATAACGGACGTCCGGATTACGGACTTTGTACTGTATACATGTAATATTTTAAGCACGTACAAGCCACTGCTACTTTTAGTAGCTTTCGATATCCCATCATAGCTGATGGTTAAGGCATTTAGATGAAAATAACAAAACTTGATTTCAACAAATCCCCAATCTTTTTTTTCGCACATATAACAAAACCCATACTTTTGGAGACAAGATATTTCTTAATCATCGTGAGAACACAATCTCCATGTATAAATACGACGTAAGCATTTTGGGACAGGACAGCATAAGCAGCACACAGTTATTTGCAACGTAGAAGCTAGGAAAAGGAGTAACGTAGTTGTTTTGTAAAGAGTATTTATTCCAAGTAAATTCAGAAAGTACTCTATGATTGGTTAATTTGAGTTTTAGTTACCTTTCTCAAGCAGCATTATGTAACATGGAAGGATCTTGAATTTGAGAGAAGGATGAATTTAGGGGAAAAGCACAAAATCTAGAATAGTTAATTTTAAGGTTGCCAGTTATTTCTTAAAGCAGCCATCATATTTTTACATATTCCCCCCTTCAAAAGAAAGGTTCGAAGAGCATGGTGGAAGAAAAAGCCTTAGTATATTAGCGAAGCAAAGTTTATCATATGAGGAAGCATCAAGGACATAACCTGCAGGTTTCCCTGTGTCCTATCATTGTTCATGACCTTTTTCATATATAGACTATGAAATACTTAAATATATAATTGACAACTATTATAATAACAATATAATCTCTAAATAATAAATTAATGCAAATATAATTTTTTAAGCCCTCAAGAATGTCCTACGTAAATTTTGTAAAGTCTCTTGACAAAAATAATTCCACAGAGTAAGTGTTCAAAAGAAGTCTTTCAAATTTTTGTTGATGAAAATATGTCCATTATAATACAGATTGAGCTATCAACATTCATGTAGAAATATAATACTCAGTTTATGATTAATTGAATAAATCCTTCTTATTGTGGATACACATATTTAATACAATAGAAAATTCAATACAAAAGCATAATGATATAATGCAATACTAAATAACACAATAATACTTTGATGATTAGTTGGCATGTCCTCTCCAACAAAATCAGCATACCAGCTTTCTGGTGGTTGGAGGATGCTTAAGTACAATATATAAAAAAATCTGATGTGTACACCACATGACTTCTTTGTATTGGAATATTAAATCATACACTTTTTTTCTTGCATTCCATTTAAACTTATTGGATGGAATTAAATCTACTTCGCCAACAGTGCATAAACCACAATAGAATAAATGCATTCTTTAAAATTCACTCTAGTATTTGTTTACCATAGCGACACACTGGCGCTAGATTCACTTAACAGTATTAGTAATTATATATAACAGTTAACGTATATATTTCGTTCATATTATAACTCATAATGCACAAAATTAATATCATTTAAAGAATAGAATTATCTAATCGTTGCCACATGTTCTATTCAAATACTATAATAAAGCTAGAATGATGTATAAAAGAAATTAAGCAAACAAAACAAAAAGGAAACAGTTTTTCACAGACGATTGAGTATTTCTCATTTAATTAATTCAGTTCTCACTTCGCGAGAAGGCAAAAATACATAAAAACTCAAAATATCTATATTAAAAATTATGAAGTAAATCTCAAACACCTATTTCCTCGAAAAGATTCCAGAAAGAATTAAGCATGATTTAATTGGCAATAATAAATGAATGTGTTATCTTTGTTGTTGCGAAGCTAAGTTTCTCTAGATTGGCAACAAATCCACTAGTCTCCTGTTTCAAATGTAAACATCAATGGCCGCCATTAAAAAAGGCTTAGCGGCAATTAAACAACTTTAAAATTGCTGATAATTCTAAAAATATTGCACACAGATTTACTAAAGGCATAAAATCCTTAACCGGAAGATAAAAACAACATAATTCAATCATTTTTAAAGCAAAAAATGTACAATTTACAAACTATAAGAGTAAAGAAACTGAGATCACTGAGCCGGGTAACAGAGTGGATATATATATAAATATATTTATATATGTTTGGTGCGACCTATTGCAACCAAAATACGAGGTTCACATTTACATGTTATAGCAGTCCTATATACAAAATTTCAACATTCTGAGGCTACTCGTTTTTGAGTTATGCGAGATACGTTCGTAGAAACGCGACGAAAAATTCTCTTCAGAATTAATTTTAAAGCAGTTTTATAATTTTTTTGAAGGAAAAGAGTATTTTATTCTGTCCTTACATACAGATATCACGCAAAAACATTGTTAAATTGCATTCGATAGCAGTCAAAATGGATATTTTCGTTGAAATATGCTGCCTGAAACTTTTCGCGATTACAATACTTCCTTTGTACTTCGTACAAGAAAGTAAAAAACCCTCTGTTCCTTAGAAAAAGGTAACTGGTTTTTGGCATTACACAATTGTCAAAGTTTTTTTGTTTAAAAAATCTTTCATATTAATTAATAAAATACAACATTATATAAAATTAAAACTGAAATTTAAGACAAATAACTTGTATAATCAAGTTAAAGTCTTAAATTTTTTCAAAATATTATTAAATATTGCCCTACAGTAAGAAGAAAGAAAAAGAAAATTTTTGTTTTAAAATTATGTAAAGTGTATGTGTTTGTGTATGTATAGTAGCACTTCTATGTTAAACTATGGTCAGAGGATCATGACTGCTAAAGAAAATAGAAAAAAACCAAATCAGTTTCATAACCATAGCTGAATCTTCTAACAAACAAAATCCCTGTTTCTATGCAAAACAATAAAACTTTAAGGGATGTTAGGAGTGTTCATAGGGGGGACATGGGCATTTGCTATAACCTCTTGTATTCTCCCTAAAGAAAATATGCAAGGAGTAATACACATAGTGTGAAAACTCATGTCGGAAAAAAGAACAAAAATGTATTTGTCTCTGAATGAGAATCTGGTATTAAATCCAGATTTTCAAAATTGGTGTTAAGAGTTTTCCCTCTCCTCATCTTCTGGGCTGTGGGGAACATACACAACAAATTTTGAATGAAAAAACTCTGGAAAGAAGGAAAGGCAGTATAAGAAAGAAGCCAGACTGAGAAAGGTCATAACGTCTTAATCAGGTTTTAAAATGTCATAATCGAGAAAAAATATGTTTAACGTAGAATTTGAAAACTAAAATTAATTTTTCACAGAAACAGGGATTCTAATATTTCTAACAGTTAATTTAAATTCACCAGCTGGATTAAAAGGTCTGAGTCTGGTTGAGTTATCTGTTTCAAAAGTAACTTCAGAATACTGTTTTAAAATTTTGTAAGGTTCTGAAAAAGGAGGAGAAGGTTTACAGGTATTAGGATATTGAAATTCTGCATACATTTTACTAAATCACTTATTTTTAAATTACTGGGTTTATATTGAGTATCATTTCTTTCTTTATTTACATTATGATAAACATCAGACCTTTTTTGGGCAATTTTTCTAGCTTCTTGGTGGATATACTTCTTGATTTTCAAGTAGATGATCATAAGGTAATTTTCCATACATTAAGTAAGATGGTGGTAATTTTGTTCCAGAATGTGGTATATTAT